GACTATTATTTTTGATTAATTATAATAATTTTAAGTAGTTGTAGGCAAGCTAGCATTTAACTCATTGTATCAACATATGAGAGATGTTGTTTCTTTCACGATGTATACCCTGCTATATACAAATCAAATAAAGAAATGATGTTTACCTACAAAAAAAAAAAAAAAAAAAATAATTTTAAGTAGTTTTTAGTTTATTAAAAGAAGTTTTATATTAAAAACTATTTGTTTAAAATCAATATTTAGAAAGTTTATCAAGGATAAATAAATAATTTTTTTAGTTTAAAAATTTTTTAATAAATATTTAATAAAATTTAATCAAAAAGCAACAAACAAATAAAAAATATATTACAGTATATAAATTATACAAAATAAAATTTATTGAATATTAATGAATATCATTGTAAAATTATAATTCAAAAATAAATAGAAATTTTTTTTATAATATATATATTATTAAATACTGTATTTTATTTATTTACAAGATTTATAATATTCAAAATTTTATTTTATATCAAATGTATACAGTTTATATTATTGGATTTTTTATAATACAAATTATATTGCAAATATCAAAAAAAAAAATTTTTTTTTAATTGATTTTTTTAAAAAATGTTGTATAAGAGCATAACTGTAAATACAATAAATAGTTTTTTTAAAAAATAAAATATAGACATCAAATAAATAAATAATTTAATCAATTAAAAAGTATTATACTATATATATTGTTTAAGGAATGATAATGATATTAAATGTTTTGACATGGGAACAAACATATTTTCTAATCAAGGGTTTATTCATCAAAACATGAAATGACAGCATTTGGTATTTGCCAAATATTTAAAGTCAAATGAAAAAAAAGATATACACTAAACCCTTTTTAAATGTACCCCCTTGGATTGTATGAAAAATATTTAAAAAATGTGTATTTAAAGAGGGAGTGCATTTGAGAGGTAAATTTTTCAAGTGTTCGATGTACTTGAACCAAGCTTTGCCGTGCATTCAAAGAAATAAAACATAGTGAATGCATTTAGGGAGGGTGCATTTAGAGAGGTTTTATTGTGTGTAGGTATACTGTATGTATAGTATATATACAGTATTTTCATGAATGAATGTTCATTATACATGTTTTTTTGAGAGCAAACTTTATATAAACAAAGATGTACATAAGGTATGTATCTGATATATTGTGCGCACACCTGCAAATGGCATTTTAAAGAAAAGAAGAACGAACCGGTGAGGTAGTAGCAGCTTTGCATGGTTCCTTCAATGAACTCGATTGCTATTTGCGAGCGTGCTCGATTGATTATTCGTTGAATGATGCGAGGTGGTCAAAACAATAATGGGGTATACATTGTCTGATAAATTCTGATTTCGTGAACTTGAATTGATTAAATCAGGATATATTGGTCTTTATTCTTAAAAATATACAGTATTTATGTTGTATACAGTATATGCAGCATGTTTATTTTTTTTCAAAAATATCTTTTTGTTCTGATCAGTGACAAACCGAATATGAGGCGTTTTCTTAATGTAAAATATGCCAAGAGCACATCACACTTTGGATAACCAAAGTCTTGGTTTCACTGGGTTGTCACCAAACGGAGGTTCAAAGTGTGATGTATTCACACTGGTGGCGGCTGCCATGCTTAATGACTCACAACTATCATGGTGGGGGATGCCTCGCTTAATTTCAAATAACTCAGACCTTTGATTCTAAAGGAAGCTCATTTAACTAATTCGGTTGATGAGAGATTGCCATTTAAAAGTTTACGAAGATATAAAGTTATCATGCTGTTTACCTTATAAAGGGAATCTCGCTTCTTTATGGCATGAGAGTATTCAAGGGACAGAGTAGTTTGTATAATTATGTGAGGCGATCACGCCAAATGTGGGGGCGATTGTGCCCAATTCAGTCTTGATTGTTGCTTTCTAATGTTTCCGGGATGCAGTTCATTACTCATTAGGGTAGACAGAATTTTAAGAAGAAATATAAGGATATGCCGTGATAATTGGTTTTCGCGGAATTCTCGTTTAGCGTAACAAATAACAGGTGAGATGCGTTTCATCATCCTCGCCCGAGATTTCGGCGATCACGTTCCAACATATGTACATATGTACAGTATATAACATGTTACAATGGAAGATCATTGGATTGTAGCAGAATGGTGCGACTGCACTTGGGTGTTTAAAGTACACAATTATTGTTGCCAATTCGAACGTGACCGAGGACTAACTAAAGGCTTAAATAAATGGCGACCAATTGAGGAGCGTTGTAGTACATTTTTTGCATAAAAAGAGTAGGTAACAATAACAAATAATAAATAATGGTTTTCTTTTAACATGCACGAAGTAGATCGCGGATTTGGACAAAGATCTGAGAATTCTACGCATCAATTAAAATAGATGGCTTCGAGAGAGTGACACGGACGTCGTTTGGAGGTTATTTCTGACAATAGGTGATACCAGGACATTGGGGTACTTCTGCATCACCTCGCAGCACATATATACATGCATACCCATACGTTTATAAAATATCGTTCTGTAATGTGCGCAAGCGATCCCCTCTTTTTTTTTTCAGGCAAAGGGACCTGAGATCACACGAAGATTGCAAAGATAGTAAAGATGGGTACGAGTGGGATGTGAAAAGAGGGTTTCAACTTTGCCGGATTTTGTTTGCTCCAAAAAAAAAAAAAAAAAAAAGACCCCGGAGATATCCGCCTTTTACAGTAACGCATACACAGAGGGCTGTGAAAAAAAAAAAAAAAGGAAGATATATGTACTGTAAATAAGAATGCGCGAAACATCCTTTCACCTATATGTATGCATTATCTCGCCTTAACTGCAAACGATTTACCACTCCATACCACGTAACCTGATATGGGGATTTCATATATTATTATAGATTACTTTTAAGAACCTTTCTTTCATCATCAACATGATTTTTACGAAGGTGAAAACATTAAATGTGGCTAGTGCGTGAGCGGCATCAATCACATTTCAGAACTTGCCAACTATTATCCTATTATTGTTTTTATTGTATATATTTGATACACTTTCTTGATCGGCATTTGTGGAATAATATAATAATAGCATTGTCACCATCCATATTTGTCAACTTATCCTCTTGAGGGTTAGTTGCTGCGGGGAATCGGTGACGTATATATGATCTTTCGGCCTGTTGCGAGTGTTGCGCAACGAAGAAAAAGGACATGATTCTTTTTTTGGTTGGACTGGGTTAATATATCTTATTTGGTCGGATAAAAATTCTGGAAACAAGAAAAAATATACTGTATATACTGTATATAGAAAAAAAATATACATAGTAATTTATATATATATTGTCACTCTTAATTAATTACACATAAAAAATAATAATAACTTTATCATGATGATGAATGTGACATGATTAGTTATTATTTGTTTTTGTGTGGGGATTCACAGTCACGGGTGAGGGGTGTAACCTCCAATCCAATTTCAGGAGGTAATCGATAAATTTTGCATCGATTGTGAGCACATCGCGAACTAACTCGATGGCCCCGACCGTCCAAGTCATCTCAATACTAATCGACCAAAGAAGGGATCACATAGATTATTCGTGCGATTTCTCGTACGCACTCCTTTTTTTTTCTTTAAAAAAAGAATCATTTCTCACACACAATCAATACATGATGTCGATCCCGTTAATTCTTCCCACAAACTGTGCAGTTTAATCGACAAAATATTTGAACATGCGTTGGTCGCATTCGTATTTGTTCGTGCCTTCAAAATTTGTTACTGGAAGGGAGACACCGGATGCCTCCTGATTATCTCATAGATGGGCGGTCGGACGAAGGCGTGATTGAAGGGGAGGGGCTGTACTAAAATTTTAGTAAATCCAAGTATAATCAGTAGTCTGTGCGTAATTATGTTGAGTAAGTTGTATAAAAAAAAAAAAGGGACGCATGAAAATTTTTTCTTTTTTTTTTTTTTTTTTTCACCATCCGAAATTATATTTCGCGCATTCGGGAATTTATGCTCAGTTTACTATAAAAGTATCGTTGAGGCTTATAAAAACTTTATTGGTGCTATTTATATATTAGGCGGCTGAACTTTAAGATGGTGTATAACGTACACTGCCCTCAAAGATATGGTGACATGTAAATGGATGTATGCTGCGCCAATTAATAAATTTTCCGAGAATAAAAAAAATTATTCCGTGTAGCGTAACACATAACAAAGGTATTATTTGGCAAATGATGAATCCTTTCTTCTATATTTATCGCTTACGTAAACATCCACACGCATTCCATGATTCCAAGCTTCCTTTTAATTACTTTGGATGGTAATTGTTGTTTGGGGGGGTGTCTGAAAAAAAAATTTTTTTTCCTAGTTGCTACTTCTTTTAGATTTCCCTTTTTGGTGAGCTATTGTGACGCAAGCAGCGTCCTGTATGTCCACCGTCTTGGCCAATCAAAATTCTCGACTTCCCAAAAAGTTATCCAAAGGAAACATCCCACCGTCATCCACCCATCCACCCATCCACCCATTCACCCATTCACCCGTTCACCCGTTCATCCGTTCACCACGAGGAAATGCTGTGACGCAAGGAATTAAAAATTAATTTTCAGGGGATTATTTCGGAGGTTTCTCCTTCGGCACATTGATCTTAAGGCATGCCCTTCACTTAAACACCAAATTTTCCCCCTTACACCACTTCTCTTACATTGACCGAAGCACAAGATCGATCAGAGGTGCCTTTGGTCGGATATTTATTATTCCGGATGTTGATGAAAGAGCGACCAGATGAGCGAACCCGTGTCCATCTCAACCAGCAGCAGATCTGACACTTTGCGCTTTTGTTAATTCTGCAAAGTGACTATTCAATTGGACTCTTGAAACGGGTGGTTCTTGATGGTCTTAAGGGCGAACCCTCCCGAAACCGGAAAGCGACAACATGAAATTTATCCCATGAAAATCTGGTTTACGAAATAAGTCTAGCGTGTGGTATAAACTCTTACAGAATGAAGTGGATCCACGACGATCAGGCTTGGCTTCCGACTATCCGCTCATTCGGAAAAAAAGGTCAGGTAGTCGTGTGTGACATCGGTGATTGGGGAGAATGAAGATAGAGGAACAAAGTTAAATGGCCTGACGGTAAAGGTAATGGTAATGCGAATGATCTTACGAATATGGATAAAAATCTGGTCTATTGTGAACCATCTACGGAGAATCGTCGCTAGAAAGGAAGCACCTGTTATTGTTCCCTGAGGCAATTCTCTTGCGTGTGCACGTGCACGTATTCGTGGTAATCCTGTGACGATTGTTTATCTTATCTTTTCCGGTGACGATTACTTCCCTCACGATCTTACCTTGCCTTATCCTAAAAGCAATTACGTATACGCACGTATAACCTGCATTCCCTCAAATGATATACCGAGGTGATTGACGTGCACATTACATACGTGTTGTTGATTTTGATAAAGTGGTGGTGATTAGGGCCTCAAGGATGTTCGTGAAATTTTATAAAAATGGCTATGAATCATCGTCAGCCCTTCATCGATTATTGTGAATGAAAAAATTTTTTTCCGATTGTTCATGCGCGCTCATTCACTCATGTTCATTGAGCGGAAGCATAAGGCAGGTGAGATACATAGTCGACGGACGGAGCGTCGGGCGAACGAACGAAAATGGTCAGTCATGAAGACGCAACACAAGAATTAAACAATGATTGATCATTAATAATAATCGCATGAAATGATAAATCCGTCTATCCTAGGATAATGAAACCAATTATAATAAATGCGCACCACCATAACACACAACTCATGTAAAAGAATCACACAAGAACCTTATACAAATGCGTATGGGACACTTTCAAAGATTTTCCCTTTTTTTCACCGGGTAACACTCCCATATACAGTATTTATACCAAAATTCTTGTATCAAAGCAATTTCCTATGTTTAACCAACCAGGTTTGTAACATGGTGACCGACTCCCGCTTTAAACAAATCTCTTATATCATACTTGTGTGACCGTTTCAACGAAAAAAAAAAATATTTGAATTTTTTTTTCTCATTTGTTTATTTGATATTCTCTCTCGTCACATATGCGACTCTCCAACTTGCGACCACCGCGCTAAGAGAAGAATAAAAATAGCCGACGCTGAGATTGTTGCAAACAATCAAGCACGGAAAGCCATATATAACCTTGTTGAAATTGGCAAATTCGGTCCATTTGGAAACCGGGATTCCACCGATGAAAAAAACCCCGGTGATGATGGACAACGTGCGGCAGTGTGTGTGGTGTGTCTAAGTTGTTGGTACGTGTGCATCAAGAAGTCGCAAGGATTGTGCGACCCGTGAATTCTCATTATGTCTTCTATCCACCGGATTCTGGAGGTGTTGACGCTCACGTCTCTCCGTCTGTTTTGTTTTTAGTATTTGCGATGCCGATTCCTTCTTTTTCCACCAAAATTCTTTTACTTATTAGGTGAATCAAAGGACTGCTCGTGGTTTTTTTCGGGAATTCCTTGAACACCGAACGTAAGATGTTCGTGATACTGGTGGAATGTGATAACCCTTATTATGTCATGATGGATGGAGGTATTTACCGCATCCACCACATCCACCACTACGTGTGCCGGTGTGTATCAAGTCGAAAGGAAAAAATGGGATGCGAGCACGAAAAAAAAAAAAAAAAAAGCCAAAGCAGGAGATTATGGTTGCACACTGCATAAAGCATAATTAATAAAATAAGATTATTAGACTCAAATTAGAAGGGTGAGGTAAGAGGTTCCAGGTTGGAAGTGTGATGTTCATCTTGTATTATCATTAAAAAAAAAAAAAAAAAAAACCGAACTTTTTTTTTTTTCCTCCACATACGCACACACAAACTATCACCACCGATATTAATACCATTATTGTTAAATACAAACAACAACACAACAGAAATAATTTTTTTTTATAGCTGACTATCATTCATCATCGTACTAGTTTTTTTTTTTTTTCTTACAAAAAAAAAAAAAAACTTTCCTCGGCTTAAACCCACCCTTTTTTTTTGAACACCCTCTCTTTTCCCTTATTCCCCTATTTCCCATTTTTTTTCTTCCTGCTCTCTTTTTTTCTCCCATTTTTTTTACCACTTCTTCGCTAGCGTGTCGTTCTACATGTCCATATCATTTTCTCTCCTATCAATAGTATGAAGTCTTCATAGAAAAAAAAAAGAAAACATCGGCCCCAGATACTTTATTGATATTTTCCGTGATATATATATATATATACATACACAAAAAAAAAAAACAGTGCTCATTTGAAATATTGCATAGAAACCCGTCTGCTCGCATCTGCACACAACCTTTGACCGTATTTAAAGCAAAAAGAAAAACCAACGACAACAATAAAAACAAAACAAAAACCAACAACACATAGACCACACACATACAGTACATACATACACATATCTATCTATATTTATAGAAGGGAAGGGAAACCTCAGCATCCGTTCACACGTTTTTACGCCTTAATCAGCCGCACGGGTGTCTCCGGTCTCTTTTCAATAGACATACGTGTTCGCAAACGCACCGGTAGTGCTCTCTGAAAAATGGAAATGGAAATCAGTCAGGATCTCACCGATCGTTCCCTGGCCTTGAGGCGTTCCCAGAGGATACGTTCCAGGGACGAAAGGAGACGACGTGAAGAAATGGAGCGTAAAGAAATTGAAGAACGCAAAACCCTGATGCGTGTACCAAAGCGTCTCACAAAACATCCCGTTCGCAAATCTCCTGCCAATTCTTCCACCACCACCGTGCCACCCAAGAAGAAAAAACTTTACGATTGCGGCTTATCACAACAAAACACTTCAACCGCTCACCTTTCCAATCTTCCTCTGGATATTTTGTTATACATGTTGGAATTCCTGGGTAGGTAGAATCCTCTGTCGAAACTATCTGTGACGTTTTTTTCCTTTTCCTTTTTCACTTTTGACTAACGTTGAAATATACTTTCTTCCATCATCCCTTGGATATATATTGTGCAACCATGTATAGATGGTAGGTTTCCTTTTACTCTTTTTTTTTTTCTCTATTTTTTTCTACCTCCGCTCTGATCATTTGATGGCTTTCGACAACGTAATTGTCAATCGGCACAATTTGATCCCATGAAAAAAAAAAAAAAAAGATCATTCGGCAGAATTTTGTGAATTGCCGTCCGAGGACGCGTTCTTCACTTCCGAGTCCTAATGAAAAAAAAACTGAAGAAATTTTTTCTTTTACCCAATTTCAGGACCATCTCTTGCGACCATGGAGCGAGCCTCAAAATCATTTCATCGCATCATTCGTGGTCAACACAGCCCATATAGATTTCTATATTACAAATTATTGGCAACGTATTGTCCGAATGATGGGGTTTCAATCTTTGAGAATGGCGAACACGAACACGCGATCCACGCAACAGTTCTGCCGAAAATATACAAGACCCTCGTTAAGAAGGAGTCCAAGGAGTGCAAAGTGTCCAATTGGAAAGTAAGTTCATTATCATCGTAATTTATTTTTATCAATCGTTCAATCCACTGGTGTACTTGATGATAACCTCAAATTCTTGGTTTCTATTTGTAGATTCAGGTAAAAGATCTAGTAATAAAAAAAAAAAAAAAAAGGAATAAATTTCTTTTTTCTCTTTAGATTTACGTTTCAACTTTCTAAAATATGGTTCCCTCAATATTATCCTCTAGTTTGTGGAATCACATAAATATTATGTCACCCAGGTATGCACAATTTGTGGTGAGGCCGGTGACCCGATTCCGGTTTGGGAAGTGCGTTTGTGTAGGTTCTGTGTCGTCAGGCAATTGATTAACAAGAGCGCGTTGCCTGCATTTTCCCTAACTTCAAAAGAGATCGAGGTGCTCAAGGTAAATTTCTTGATCATTGATCGTTCTCACAATTCAGTCCTTGCAGACATTTTTCATGCTAACTCGGATCATTTAGCCGTGGAAGACCTATGTGTATGACCTCGGCATGCACTGCACCTTTTACCTTCGTGCTCATCTTGATCATCTCCGACGGCAAAAGTTCTCGGATCCGCAAGCCGTTCTGGATGCTAATGTGAGCAAACGTCAGGCCGAAAGGTTTGGCAAGGAAAACGCCAAACGCAAGAGAAAACAAAGGGAACAAGAGGAATCGTTTACAGAACGAACTTCGGCCATTCTTCGATGCTTCGAAGAACTCCGCTTAAAACGAGATTTATCCGTCATGGACGAATGGTGGTTTCCAAAGGAACTCAAGTTGGAAATACATGAGGTAAATCTCGCGGAAACTGTTGAGTTACTGATAATGGATTTGTAATGTTCGTAAGATTGGTGCTAATTGTCATTGACCATTTCGTTCTTGATACGTCGATAGTATATCTCCAACAAGACCAACAACAGTTTGGCTCGCAAGCGCCTCCGTCTATCCATTGAACAAGACATCAGCAATTCGAACACTCCGTCACCATCGCCGTTGGCCAAAAGCAAGTCTCTACATAAAAATCTGGACGAGATAATGACCGAGTTACGTCATGTGGTGGTCCCACGTGTCGAAAGACTGATGGAGCTAAACAGTAGGCTGTTCGGTGATGGTATTGCCATTGATAAGTTGCGGATGGATCTGGATCTCAAGACGCGAAGGATCTACGATGACTTTGTGCTAGGCGGATTGCCTTACGAGCACCAGCTGACAGTCTCGAGGACGCGCAGTGAGATTCTCAATTATTTCAAACGCGAAGAAGCCTTCGAATCCTCCATCACAAACACTTTTCGAACCTCCGTTACACCTGAAGATTTTCTGTGCGTGTCTATTGATCCAAAGAGATTCCTACAGGATGCTCGTGAGTGGTGGGCTCGCCGCGGAAAGAAACCGCCGCCAGAAAAATGCGGAGAGTTATACCTCGCCCGTGTTCGTAAGCGTCAATTGCGATTTAGAAACGATGTGTCTTCGCTGAAAACTCAAGAGAATTGGAGACGGGAGTTGCTGGAGCGAAAATTACGTGAAAAGGTTGACTGGTATTTCACCGATTTACCTAGATACATAGCTGAGTTGAAAAATCTATACGAACGTAATTTTATACGGCGGATGAAAAGCAAGGAATATTGCTTGATGAAGGTGACTATTTGATTTTTTCGCCTTGCGACTCGCACGACTTCCTGGTTTCTCATTTAACAATGATTCATCGTTTACAGGGTTTGTCATCACAGTACGACATGGAAGAACCGCCAGAAAGGTTGAAGATGATGTATGGCGACTACGAAGATTTCATAAAGAACTGTAATGGGTTCTGCTCGACTGACGATGGTTATTGCGGTTGCCTGGAATGTACGTATCACCAGTTTCACTGATCTCTCCGGTTATGATTCTATGGATTCTAATTGTTGCTAACCGTGAAAATCGCCTGAACTTCATAGATGCCGCAAAAGATATAATCAGAGCGAATACGGTATTAAGACGAAGGGACTGGATGGACGCACAACTGAGGAAATTCCAAGAGATCGAGTACCGCGGTCCTGATTACTTGTTGTGTCCCGAGGCCAAGGAAGAATATCATTATGCTGCTAGAAGTAGGTTACCAGAAAAAAATCTTAAAGATTAACACTGAACATTAAACGGTTGATGTTAACATGACGATATGCGTCTCATCCATTTTCTACCTAAAATCCAGATGTATCCGTTCCAAAACGAGCTGCGGTAATGTACATTTGCCGTGCCGAACGGTTTATGCGACGACTTATTCGCGAGGTTCCATCTTTCGCCACAGAATTAATCACCGCGGAGGCGCGTGATTGGTACAAACGTTTCCTCGGCATCGTCTCAGATTTCTATGATCCTCCACGTCGCCCTTGTTCATGGACGGCATTCACAACCCATTGCTATTACTACGAAGTTCACAACAATACGATGGACCGCCCGGAAATTGATTACACCATACAAAAGATCCGAGAGTGTGAGAGTAATCGCATAAGTCGTTTAACACAAGCTGATTGCGTGGCCAAGCAGGCACGATTGAGTCCAAGTTTCTGGAACAAGTCGATGGTCAAAAGGCCGATGGACGGCGTCTCATTTGCGACCAGAGTTAGGTGGATAGCTTCAAACGGCTGGTTCTCGTTGAACCAATTGGCTCAGGCTTGGATTTATGATGAAGAGCAAGCTCCGTTGAGTCAGCTGGAACCTTATATCAAAGAGAAGGTCAAACAGATGGAGAGGGAACGGCGTAAAGAGGAAATCACGTCAAGGTGAATATTCTCCGACTTGTGTGAATTATGATTTTTGTTTACCACCATTCGAACACATGCTAATTTCTTTTTTTTTGCGCTTTTGCGTGTCCGCGTGATTCAAACAGGATCAAGGATGATCCCGAATATCAAAAGATTTTCAAGGAAATTGACGAGGATGCCGAGTTTTTCTTGCGTGCTACCTACGAGATTAACACCATCTACAAGGTAAATACCGTTCATGATATGGGCTCGTGATATTGATCTATGCTTGATCTAATTTTAATTTTCCACTCGTCTTTCGCTCACAGGTGTCCAACCTTTATAAAGCTCATGTTGAAGATGTAAAACCGGGAATCGACCCCGCGAGAGTTGTGCGACAGGTCATTGATCTCATCAGAGATGTCAAAACCGGGGTCATCAGCAAGAGTAGCTTGTTCGTTTCCGATCGGGAAAAGTTGGCTGAAGAGGAAGACGACAATGATGACGACAACAATGGTGCCATCGTTAACAATGGCACCGTCGGTAATGCTGGTGTTCACATAAATAACAATGTCATTCCTGCGATCACGAACGCGACAAATATTAATGGCACTGGTGTTGTGCAAGCCGTGGGCAGCAACGCCATTCCTGCGAACATACCACCACCAAACCCTTCGGTGAACGCAATAATTCAGGGCATTCAAATAATGCAAGCGAGAGGAGGCGCCGCGGCGTCTACCAATCCTTAAGAGGAAGCGTGTGCATGCTTCTTTCTTTCTTTCACCGTGATTTTCCGTGTTGGTCGTTGTCACTTGAAAGAATTATGAGAATGGACAATATTTCCCTTTTTATGATTATCTTTATGGAGGTGGTTCCGCGTGTAATTTGCTTATTTCTTTTATTTTTTTCCTATAAATTTTCTATATATAAAAAAAAAAAAAAAACAAAAAAAACAAAAAAAAAATTTTTTTCTAAAAAAAACCGATTGACTTCCTCCCTGAAATTCAAAAAAGATGATTAATCAAATCAAAAGACTGAAACCCTTTATTTCTTTGCATACCTCGTGTCTCTCTCAAGCAACAGCGTTTGATGGGCATAACTTATTCCTCGAATCAGGTGAAAAGCATGAAGTTTTAAACATACTATATATTCAAGTAAAATAATTGCGGTAGAGTGCGGATTAACAAAAGATAGAATTGTAGTGTTGTAATATATGAACAATATGTCTAATTATGTGAATCGAGATCTCATTGCAATTGAGGCATTGTAATCAAGGATTGATTGCTTTTCTTAATAAAAGCAGAAATTCTCTTTCTGTAATTATGCTGTAAATAATCAAAAGAAATTTCAAGGATTATATTGTATTCCAAAAGATCTGAACAATTTCGATCATTTAATATACTTGGTCAGAATTTTTTTTTATTAATTCATCTTGGTTTGCTAGTAAATTTATCAAATTATGCTTCTAAATGAGACTCGATCATAAAGAAATATAATATGCTCTATCAAAAAACAGCTTGTTAAAAATTAATAACTTATCTTTTTGAGATATTCTTATTAACAAACATCAAATTCAGGTTTGATTCGAATAAAAATTAGTTTATCATTACATTACTAAATTCCTCGAACCTTAATGTAATTATATTATGTGTTTATAATAATTGATAAAAATAATACATTACAATAGTTGAAAATGATTCATTTGGTATCATATTACTTGCCAATTCATCAAAATTCATAAAATAAACTTTGGTTATATCTGTATATACAGTGGCTCGCAAAAGAAATGCACCACTTGAACAAAAAAATTTTAAATGGTATATTTTATTAATCATGAGAGAAATTCAAA